AATTATATTTATGACTAAGTTGATGAAAACTATCATCCATTAGCACTATTTGCTGATTTATATGAAAGAATGATATATGAGATTTAAAGAAATAAATAAATCAAATTTAAGAAACATTCATTTAATAATGAAAAAGAGGACTCACCTAATGTCTATTCTAGAGGAAAGTATGCTGTCGGATTATACTAAATTGATCAAAGATAAGACTTTATTAGAAAATAAGTAGAAGCAATTCAATAAGCGGAGGGACTGAGTCTGGATTTTCTTTTTTATGAATGGACAGATTAACATATGATTACTATTTCCATCCTCATAAATGTCGAATAATGTCCTTGAAACTTATAATGCTAAGTTTTCAATTCATATGGCATTGGGGTATTTTGATAGTATAATTATGTTTGACAATTAGTCAATATACAATATGATTGATTAATAATTAGATTTATATTAAGTAGATTATTTCCATTTAAATAACGTTATTGCATAAATAATTTGTTCATATCCTGATTTGTATTATTTCAGTACTTCATATGGGAAAATGAGTTTAATAAATGATTACACTAGAAAAAAATAAAATCAAACTTATTTTATAAAATATCTCAAATTAAAAAGAGATTAAACTTTATCAATTAACTCAATAAACATCTTTCAATAACCTTATTATTAAGATAAAAGGAAGAGAACAATTTTTATTGAAAGTTCGATTTGACCCTTTAGATTTTAGAACATTTCTATCAGTAAAACGATCTAGTTTTTCAATGCACTTCATCTAATTACTAAATATTACCTGAACAGGTTGAAATGAAATAAACTGAATATTCTTCTCAAATGATGCTTCAATTTTGAGTAGATTTAAGTTGTTAGGAAAGAAAGGGGATTAACTGTATGCTAAACGAGTTTTTGGTTGGTTCTACGTTCTTGAAGGTCTAGAGAAAAAGGGATTTTTATTATGGAAGATAAATATTGGAATCTTTAGAAAAAAATTACAATGGGATTATTGATGCACCTAATTCTTCAAATTAGAATAATTTTAATGATGAATTATGAGTTATACTATATTTCAACAATATATTATTCTCATTTATGATTTGAAAATACAAACTTAGTCTATAATTTAGATCCAAGATTAAAAAGTTTATCCTTCCATAATTTATGAATGTTTAAATACTCATATCAAATGATTTATTTAATAATCATGATATTGGTAGAGATTATGATAGATTATCTTGGAAAGTAATCATAAAGATTTAAGAATTAGATGACTAGAATACTTTTAAGAACTACTTTCAGAAGGAATTGAAAAAAAAATCATTTATAATTAACATGACTATATTTTATATTGATCATTAAAATGTATAGAAAAAGATAATAATTGCATTAATAAATAAATGATAAAAGCAAAGAAAAACCATATACACATTAAGGATCAAATTTGTTAATTAATTGATAGTTGTCTTAATTTGATAAATTAAAATAAAAAAAATAATAAAAATTAAAACAAAACTTTATAGAAAAAAGTAGTCTTTTAAGAAATATGACTGGTATTATTTTTAATTGCAATTATTTTAAGTTAATACTAAACTAATCGAAAGTTCGAGATTGAAGTAATTGTTATTTAAAATTAGACTACTACTATGATGATAGTGATTAAGTATTTAAATTGGAGAATTGAAAACTAAGATTAATCATGTCATTAAATAATAATAAATATAAGGTTATTCAGCATATTAGTTGCTTGGTTGTTTTAAAAAGGAAAATTTAAAGATTAATGTAATTTAAATCAGATTAAATATTAGGATCTATTAATTCCAATTATAAATATTTAATTACATGGAATAATTAATCAGAATACTTATAAATTAGAAAATTTAATGAAGAATAATCTTTAATCTTATGATATACAAATATATATAAAAAGTAGTAATATCTATTTATTACATATACTGATAGATTGAAGGAATTATGATATTTTATAACATATTTTTATCTTTTATTCTACAATTTTA